ATGGCAAGGATTTATGTTTTTTTTTTACATTAAGATGCAACCCATATAGAAGGCTGTGATCTTTGATCTTCATCAGTAACTATTTTAAGTCCTCTTCACTTTCAGCAAGCAAGGTTATATCATCTGCATATTGCAGGTTGTTACTGTGTCTTCCTCCAATCCTGACACTACATTTTTCCCCCCATATAATAGAGCTTCTTAGATTATTTGTTCTGCATACAGACTGAGTAAGTGTGGTGAAAGAATACAACCCTGTTGCACACCTTTCTTAATTTGAAACCATTCTGTGTTCCCTTGTTCTGTTTGAATAACTGCCTTTTGGTCTACGTACAGGCTCCTCTTGAGCACAGTTAAGTGTTCTACATTCACGTTGGGTATGTTCTTTCTTGTGTTTGAGCTCACGGCTACAGAGATTGTCAATCCATCTTGTTGAGGGCCTTTCTCTTTGTTGCTGACCCTACACTTTACTAAGCATGATATCATTTTCCAGATACTGGTCACATCTGATAACATGTCCAGTATCCACAAGACGAAGTCTCAGCACCTTTGCTTTTAAAGAGCATTCTGACTGTACTTCTATCAAGAAAGATTTGTTCTGCTGGCATGTTAATATTCTTCATCTATACCATAATTCAAAGCATCAATTCTTCAGTTTCCCTTATTTGTTGTCTAGTTTCACATGCTTGTGCTGTGACAGACAATCCCATGGCTTGGGGCAGGAGCTCATTATTCTTTAAAGTGACATATTCGCCTTAAAAAAAACACAACATACACAAAAACAGAAAACACTTTAAAGAGATGTTTTGCAGCATATTTGTCCAATGCAAAATGCCATTTTATTTCTTCAGAGATGCTTACATAACTGTGGATCCAATTAAAATAAAATTCTTGACAATTTCAATCTTTTCCTTATTCACCAATGTTGTTTATTGGTCCAGTTGTAAGGATTATTGTTTCTTCATGTTGAGATGTAATCCATATTGAAGGGTGGAGTCTTTGATCTTTATTAGTAAGTATTTCAATCAAGTCCTCTTTGCTTTCATAAAGCAAGGTTGTGTCATCTTCACATCACAGGTAGTTTAACAATTCTTCCTTCAACCGTTATGCTGCATTCTTCTTCATAAAACCCGGCTTCTCAGATTATATTCTCAGTATACAGACTGAATAAATACTGTGAAAAGGATCCAACCTTTCCTAACTTTAAACCACTCAGTATCCTCTTGCTTTGTTTGCACAAATGCCTCTTGATCTATATACAGGTTCCGTATGATCACAATTTAGTGTTCTGGAATTCCCATTCCTATCAAAGTTATCCATAGCTTATTATGATCCACATGGTCGAACACCTCTGCAAATCAATAAAACACAGCAAACATTTTTTTCTGGTATTCCCTACTGTCAGTCAAGATCCATCTGGTGTCAGCAAGGATAGTCCTTCTTTCATGTCCTCTCCTGAGTCCAATTTGATATTTCTGGAAGTTCCCTGTCAATGTCCTGCTGCACCCATTTAAAAATTCTCTTTGGGAATTTTTTTACTGGTATGTGGCTTGTAGATTGAACTAAAAAAAACTAAAAATATGAAGAAACCAAGCCTACTGTCATCAAGTCTGTTCTGACTCTTAGCAACCTTGTACGAGGATTCTGAGACAGCGCATGAGAAGACCGCCTGATTCTTCTCCCACAGAGCAGTTAGTGGGTTTGAATGTCTAACCTTGCTATTAGCAGTCCAGTTCTTATCCTACAATGCCACCAGGGCTGCTAAATAAATATAATGACACCAAAATGTCTTGAAGACCTCAGACAATTTCAGTTTACACAAAGAAACGAGACAAAGTGACTCAAAAAAGTAACCAAGTTGCAGAGCCAGAAATTATTTCTGAGGAAAAAAAGCTATTGGAATTATCTGATAAAGAATTCAAAAGACTGATATTCTGGTACCTTCAATGATTAGAAGACTGAGAAAACTGCAGATCACAATACTATAAAATTAGAAACCATTAGGAAGATCAAGGAAAAGAAAATTAAATACATGGCACCCTGCTTAAAAACTAGTGCACAATAGAAGAAAACTTAAAATGTCCTTGAATTAAATGAGAACGAAAGCTCATTTACCAAAATGAGCTCAACATACCAAACCTTTTATACACAGCAAAAGCAGTGCTAAAAGGGCAATTTGTAACAATAAATTAACACAGCCAAAAAGAAGAAGGAACCCAAATCAATGCTTTAACCCAACATCTTCAACAATTAGAAAAAGAGCAGGAAAGTAAGTATATAGCCGCCAGAAGAAAATGCATAATAAAGATGAGAGCAGAAATAAATGAAAAAGGAAACAGAAAA